ACTAGAGGCACGGTGCACGAAATTTGTGCATGGGTAGGGTCCCTAGGCCTGGTGGCGATCAGGGCTTATCAGGTTCCCCACCTCCCCGCCTCCTCCTTCCCTCGCTCCCTCAGCACTTCATTGCCACTGCTGGTCACCTGCCATGTTCCACGCTGACCCCTGGTTGTCGGTGCAGGTCATAGTGAGTGATCGAACTCCCGTTCTCCCGGTCGAGCTCCCGAGGGGACACTGTGCATATTAGTCTTTAATATATACATACTAGAGTCCCAGTGTACGAATTCATGCACCGGTAGGGTCCCTTGGCCTGGCCTGTGGGATCGGGCCGAAACCAGTTCTCCAACATACCCCAAGGGGTCCCAAATTGTGAGAGGGCTCAGGCCAGGCTGAGGCACCCCGCCGATGCACGATTGGGGCCAGGGAGGGATGCGGGAGGTTGGCTAGCTGGGGAGGGACCGTGGGAGGGCTCCAGGGCATGTCCGGCCCATCTTCGCTCAGTCCTGATCAGCTGGACCCCAGGAGTAAGCTAACCTACTGTTCAGAGCATCTGCCCCCTGGTGGTCAGTGCACGTCATAGTGAGCAGTTGGGCGGCCTTAGCATATCATTAGCATACTACGCTTTGATTGGCTGAATGGACAACCGAACACTTAGCATATTAGGCTTTTATTATATAGGATAGAAGATAGACCTATGTAAAAAAGATAAGGCTCAAGCCCTAATCAAGTGACTTGGTTGGAGCATCATCCCATATATGAAAAGGTTTTAGGTTTGATTCCAGGTCAGGGCAGTATGAGAGGCAATTGATTGAAGTTTCTCTCTCATACTGATGTTTCTCTGTCTCTTTCTCTCTCTTCCTCTCTCTCTAATTAAATAAAAACATATCCTTTGATGAGGATTTAAAAAAACAAAATAAGGCTCAACATTTAACAAAAAGCAACACAAATCTCTTCGGTGATTCAGTTGCTCTAGGATGATAAATTTAATTAAAAATTAAATAAAAGTAGAATTACAACATTAGTTTGGAAAAATTAATAAATAGAAATATTTTTCAATAGTCTTTAGACATGACAAATAATTGCTATAATGAATAACAAAATTTTAAAAGATCATTTTAAAATGCTTTAAAATTTCAAAGCGAGAAAAACTAAACATTGGATATGTTTAAATATTTCTTTCTGATTTCAAATAGTGAAACATATGTGAAAATTTCCAAGAATGTATTTTTTATGAAAATGCCATGTTCACTTTATTATTATGTCAGTTAAAAGATAAATGCATATGCTTTTTCATTTCCAATTAATATGGCATATTTAGGAGATACTAAAATTTTAAAGTGTTACAATAGCCAAAGAAATGTCAGTGGTTTACAAACAGTGTGGATCTTGATTTCTTTTGAGTAATCTTTGTAAACTTTGTTCCACATGGATATTTGCATTTGAAGGTAATATTAGGTGATTTGTATAATTATTTTTAAAATTTTTTTTATTGATTTCAGACAGGGAGAGGGAGAGATAAATAGAAACATCAGTGATGAGAGAGAATCATTAATCAGCTGCCTCCTGCACACCCCACACTGGAGGTCGAGCCCACAACCCAGGAATTGAACCGTGACCTCTTGTTCATAAATCAATGCTCAACCACTGAGCTATGCCACCTTGGCTGTACAATCATTTTTGAATGGTTGGAACATAATTGGAAATTTCAATGCCTGGTAGAAATAACATAAATATGAAGTGTGATAGATATTTGCTTCTTATATCTCCTCTATAAACTGCAAATGTTACTAAACTAGCACTTTGGTGTGTTTTCTTTGTGTTAAGTGTGCACTGTCTTTAAAATTCCAGCTTTACTTATTGCTGTCATTTGAACAGGTGTCTCAATGCTTGTACCTACTGCAAAACTAAACACGCCAGAGGAAACTTGGCCAGTTATCCAATTGATGAACTAGTAGACAGAGCCAAACAGTCTTTTCAAGGTAAGAGTGTCTATAATTGTGTACAAGTTTAGTCTTCTTAATAAATTATAGTAGTCTTCTAATTTGTTTTACTTTCCATACATGCTTCTTTAGCTTTCTGAAGCGTTTACAAATATTTCAGCTTATCTGATAGATTCAATCAGGTTATAATATTCACATTACTAGCCACTCTTTCATTTTTTTATGACTCTAAGGTAAGTGACATGATTTGAATTTTATCACCTATTGTAGATTCCATGGAAAAGACAAAAAATAAAAATGAAATCCATGACCTTTTGATGTGTGTTAAGAGTTTTGTGAACTGAGTAATACACTTTTTAAGATTTCTACCCATTTCTTTGGTCATTTCTGGACCATTAGAAAATTGAACTAATAAAGGTTTCCCAGAGTCTTGAAAGGAGAAGGTAGATTTTACTATCATCCAATAAAGATAGCCTTCCTTATTCATAGGACTATTGGGTCAGTAAGGAGGGATACTGGTAGGGAGCCCTGCAGAGAACGATTCGCTGTGTGAGTGGCCAGCTACTTCTGACTCAACACTTGCTGAAAAATGTGATTGTCTAGGTATCTCTCTGTACAAAATAAGACTTATCTTTTACATGAGTCACAGTTGTGTTGTTTGACACATAACTGCTTAAACTATAAACTTCCCTTTTGTCTTTGTTTATGATATGTGTAATATAACATCAGTGTGCTTTTACACCCAACATGAGATAATGCATGGCCTCATAATCTTGTGGGTTAATAGTTATTGGCAATGTACTTTTCTTTGAGGGAGTAACTTTGAGTGCTATTTTCAGTACTTCACACCCTGAATTCTAGCAAGTATGAGTTCCAAACACATTTCTTTATTTAGTCTATGTAAAGCTTTTATCAACATGAATTTGGAATGCTCTTAAAAATAGAGAGAAATATAACCTTGGTTGGTTTGTTAACACCTCCCAATAATTTTTTTCTATTTTTATATTCTTAGCTTAGTCCACTCTTCTATTTCCATTCAACAAGAAATGAAAGGCAACTCACTGACTCTTGCCAGTGTTCTGTTTTAGGGTGAGACTAGATACCTAATCTAAGAAAATGTCTGGGCAATTGTCTTTTGTAACACAACTACCCTAAGGATTTTTCAAAAATGGCAAAAATTTGCAAAGAAACCTAATATATTTGAAAAATGATGCCTTTTCTGGCATTCTTACATGGTGTTTGTTTTTTTTTATGTATCTGTTGGTTAATGGAGATATTAAAACTATATTATATATCCATCAAACACTACAAATTGGAAGGCATACAAATTAGTTTCTTTGCGGCACTTTTTCAACATTATAAATTTCTAAGTACAACTACATATAACTGAAAAATTTTCTCATTTTACTTTGAAAATTTGTTTGAAAAATATAAAACAGTTAAATCACTATGTAGGAAGTGAAAGTATTCTCTGGGCTCCCTCATATCTATCCTCATCTATAACCTATACTAATGCTTTGATATGGTTGCCTCATGACTTAGTATGGACACATTTATGTATTATATCTGACTTGAGGGGAAAAAAAGGAAGGGGTGAACATAGTATTTATAAAATGCTTATAGAATTACTCTGAACATATCCAACAAACTTAGCTCTCTGTTTATCTTTAGAAATGCCCTCTGAGCAGTAGAGACACAGTGTGTTAGTTCTGTCAGACTTTGATTGGCAGTTAGCATTGACACATCCAAGTGATCTGGGCTAATTAAGGTGAGTGGTTCAAAGACTATATATCAGAAGTTGGGAGTGACTTAGTGGCTATTTTTAGAGAAAGTGTTAGAAAATATTTAGTATTACTTTCATAATCATCATCAGTAGGTATGTATGTGCCTTTTTATTTGCAATCATAGAATGTTTGCAATGTAAGGTTTTTCTGTTGTCTTGTTATCTGTAAATTAGAGTTGAAACTGAATGCTAGTTTTTGGACTGGTGAACTCATTTGCTTGATATGTGGTACTGTTTCTAAAATATTGAGGTCATAACTTTCTAGATAAGCTATTGTATTTAGGAAAATTTTAAGTTATCAAGTATTTGATGCTCTTTGCTTAAGAGAGTTAGAATTTGAAACGGTGGTGTGCTACTTACTAGCCACATGATCTGACAAGGTACATGACCTCTCCGAGCCATGTTCTTCTTATTACTATGCTGTTTAGTGTCGTTTGAGATAACTTATGCGAAGTAATTGCCTGTGTCCTTAGACATTACTTAAACTGAAGGAATTTAAAATTAATTCAGAAAGAGAAGTCTTCATTTTGAGTGAGAATATTGGAACATCCACAGCAAACATTAATGACTAGAATCAAATGACAGATTTTCAAAAATATATTCTCTGAAAAATGTATCTATAGATAGAAATTATTTAGTTTGACAACTACCTTTCATTTCCTTAATTTTAGAAAAATAAATTCATGCTAAGAATGGCCTTATAACCCCTTTCTGCTATAGTAAATAGCAGTCTGTACCTCACATTTTAAAGACATTGAGTTAGTTTATTATCTTATGTTTCCTGCAAAGGACAGTGGGATTTTAATGGTCTTACTGAATTTCTATGTTGGAGCTTTAAAATTGTGAAGAATAATTGTGAAGGTAAAAGGAAGAAATAACCCATTTTCTTAGTTTTATAGTGTTTGCATATTTAGTTCCTTTCATAACTCAGGTGTTAGGAATTGTTTTTGAACCACAACCCCATAAATTCTTCATTATGTCATTATGAAATTATCTGACCTATAATGAATAAAGAAGAATAAATATTACTCTTTGAAAGATTATGCTAAATGTAAAGGTTAAGTATGCTGCCACTAAATTTTAGCACTATGTTTAAAGTCAGTGGAAATTAAATTTCTCTTCCTGAAAATTACATTTGCTTTCTTTCTGTAACTTAAAATTTTTAATGACTGTGTAGAAGTATAAAGTGTTTTTTAAAAGCTCTAAACCAATTGTGGAATGAGGATTACCCAGGTTGCCTGCCATGATGCAGTGAGATCACAATTTCTTTATGAATAGCATATTTATGAAATATTTTATATTCATAAAATGTATTTCTTAGTAGTCTAATGAATGTGAAGATACTAAGAGCTAACCCAAAGGCAAGAGAGTGTTGAGAAGAGATTTGTGAAATCATTCTGAATGTAAAGTGGTTTCCCAGAGCATTAAAAATAGTATACATTCAGGTGCCGAAAAGTGAGAAAGGTAACTTATTAACTTTTGAATGGATAGCATTGAAGTCACAATCATTTATATTTTGAATAGAAATTTTTGTTTACCATTTACATATGTGTTTGTGTGTGTGTTTGATTTTCCGGCTTTTTTGCTTTTTCTCTCACTGAACCTAGTCCCTTTGACATTTTCTTTGACTGTTTTTACCTTCTTGGTGTCTTTATCATTTTTGTGGACAGTTCTGCATATGAGTTATAAGATTTACCAGGTGACTTCTGGGTATCATATCACTGTTTTAACCGACTGCTGGGAAACCTTCCCCCCTACTTCCCTACCTCTGCCGAGATTTAGGCTTTAAAAATTCCTGGGCATGGCAGTGTCTGGGGGCTGAGGTTTGACATGGTTGCATTTTCGATATCTAGAAAAACATGTCAAGCAATGACCAGGACTTTGTTGAGGCCAGAATGAATTTACAAGCTAGTGTTTTCTAGCATATTTGTATTGATTTTTCTCTAGCAGCTAATCAATCAGTTTCAGTGGTCTAAGTGATGGAACAAACCTTTTTAAGTGTGCTGGGTGAGTGGTGTGGAAACAACACCTTTCATTGCTGTCTCTGGAATCAAAATGTAGAGATGATGGATGAGCTGTTTTCATAGCTCTCCTGTGCTTTTCTAGATCTCATTTGTGTGTTACTACTTTTTTGTCCCTCACAAATCTGAAAAAGCCCTGCAGGATAAGTGGTGTAAGCAGGTTATAGGAAGGTAAAGAAATTAAGGTGAAATATTCAAAGCAGAGAGAAAATTTCTTGATGCGTAGTGATTTTAGTATTAATGCTGAAATTTAAAAAAAAATGAATTCTGTTTTATTTCAAGGCTTACAAAGATACCATCAATTGTGTATAAGATTAATTACGAAATGCAACTGGAAAACATTGCTTCCTGCTCTTTTAAATCTGAAGAAATATGAGCAATATTTGATTTTCTGTTGTGCAAACTTCAGATTGTTGAGTTGTATGGTTTGCATCAAGCCAAATTTGACTGATCACCATTAGCAAGGGTTACTATACATTGATTTTGATCTAAAATAAAAAAGAGATCCATAATTGCATCCTATTAATTTATAAGGCAGTTATTTAAATATCTTTTATTCCTTTAACTTTTCATTTGTGCTATGTTCAAATAAAATTGAAAAATCTTATTTCTTCTAAAGGATTACTAATGTTAATTTACATGTTTTTTTGTATATTGTCAACTTCCAAAAAAAGGATTTCAGGCAGCTTACATTAAATGATTGTATGTAATAGTTCATCATGAAAATAAAAGCTGTATGAAATGCTGTATTGTGTTTGGAATGAGGGAAGATGATTTTACCAACTGATAAATTCTGCCTCTTCAGAGGAATAATGAAATAGTATGATTTATAGAATTTGAAATGCATGTGTAAAAGGAAGTATGTAGTTTATAATGAGAAATGTACATGTTTCTAGGCCATTAACACTAAGAATTCTTGTTACACATCCTTTTCTAAGAGACATTGAATAATGAATTAGAAATGCCTTTAGCTGCTAATATATAGAAATTCGCGATATAGTCTCTACATGGCCTCTTCTTCTGTTTTGACTTACAAAACCCAAAAATATAATATTAAAATATAAATTATAAAAGAATTTTAATGGGCAAGCTAAATAAATGCATGAATGTATATAACTTGATAGGGGACATGGTGCCTAAATAGCTGTTTCTCAGATACTCAGTTTAAATAAGCTGGGATTCATCAATTTGATTTTGGACAAAGTTGGTTAAAGCTTTCCATGGCAAAACAGAGT